GTCATTCATCAAAAAGTATATAAACATAAGCAATAAACTCCCCCTTAATTCATTCGATCAACCTTTAAAGCATCAAGAGTATGTAATGAATATAATCATCAATCATCATCAATATAGACAACCAAAGTCATGAATAAAGTCATCAACCAATAAACACCCCCTCAATAGGAGCATATTATCATCAAAATCATAAACAACCATTCACAAAGCATGATAACACAAGTGATGCCATTTCCATTCATAAAACAAGATAAAAAGGTTCAAGACATATCCATAGTCAAATAAAACATAAAATGCATAACCCTAAGATGTCCATCCTAATGATTAGCCAAACTAAAGAAATATCAAGGCAAGGATATTATTGGCCAAACATGCACAAAGACGCCACTTACTTTGTTCAGAAATGCCCGAAATGTCAATTCTTCGCACATTTGACTCACCAACCAGTGGAAGAGCTCACGAACTTGGTAGCATCGTGGCCATTTGCTCAGTGGGGATTGGATCTTTTAGGCCCATTTGTGAAAGGGGTTAGTGGTGTAACCCATCTGGTTGTTGGTGTGGATTATTTTACAAAGTGGGTTGAAGCTTGGCCTTTATCTAGTCTTACCTCCAAGAAGGTTGAAGACTTTGTTTTCAGCTTGATCATCTGCAGATATGGGATCCCGAATCAAATTGTGGCTGATAATGGAAATCAGTTCAATTGCTCCTAATTCCGAGATTTTTGTTCTAGTTATGGCATCAAGTTACAGTTCACCTTCGTTTACCACCCGGAGTCCTTGTCATGGTAGAATCTGTTAACAAATGCATTTAAGAAGGTATAAAGCCGAGATTGGAACAGCATAAGGCCAAATGGGCAGACGAGCTCAACAACGTCCTCTAGGCATACAGAACCACGAGCCGAACTGCCACAGGTATTACTTTAAACCGAATCTATTTGATTAATTCCTATATTATTTTACTTCTTCTGTTACGCTTTACCTTATAGCAAATATGCATAATGCATAAAGCGCATTCTAAAGTTATAATTAACTGAAATAGGTGAAACACCCTACCACTTGGCCTTTGGTACCGAAGCAGTCATTCCTGTTGAAATAGGAGTCCCAAGCTTCCGGGTCACCCATTTCGATAAGGACGAAATGGACAACTGCTTCGGGAAAACCTTGATCTACTTGCTGAAGTCAGAGAAGAAGCTTGGCTTCGAACTCTTGTATACAAGCAGAAACTAGCCAACTTCTACAATAAACAAGTCCGCCCTCGAACATTCAAAGTAGGAGACCTTGTTCTCAGAAAAACAGGTCTAACAGGGTTTGAAACTCGTTTTGGCAAACTCGCCCCGAATTGGGAAGGCCCTTACACCGTGGCCGAGGTGCCACATCCTGGTGCCTATGTCCTCCAAGACGCTGAAGGAAAGAGAGTTCCTAGAGTCTGGAATGTCAATAACTTGAAGAAATTTTACCCCTAATAAATTCTTTCAAGTGATCTATGTCTTACTGTTCTTTACGCTTCTCACTTCGTGTTTGTTGAGATTCATTTTACCTCTTATTCTATGTATCTGAGGTCAATCAGTTTATTCATTCCTTGAACCTCGCTTCTGTTAATGAATGTCACTTCACATTTGAAGTACTTTATCTCCCCTCAATTCATTTACAGTGATATACTTGTTCTTAATTCACTTGACGTGGTTTACTTGTCTTTAGTTCGTTTCTGAAGTGATCAACTTCTTTTATCTCTGAAATGATTAACTTTCCTTTATAAAGAAGTCTCAGTTCTTCTATCAATATATAATAACAAAAAGGCAAACACAAACAAACACAAACAAACACATGATTTCAAAAATGAATTCCCATTCAGAATAATAACAGTATTACAAATTGTTTAATGTTTCTACAAAAAACAAAAAAACAAAAAAACAAAAAACAAACAACAAAATTATTTCTCTGCTGGGAGAGGTGGCTCCACTGGCTCCTGCTCAGCTGGAGGAGGTGGCTGTGTTGGCTGCTGCTCGTCTGGTAGAGGAGGCTGCTCATCGTCGGAAGGAACTGGATGAATCTCCACTTCTGGAACTGGTTGGCTTTCATCTACTTCAGTTCCCTCCACTCCTGCCTTCACCTCGTCTTCCTCTACCTCTGCCCCTTCTTCCTCCACTGCAACGAACTCGAAGTCGAACTGTGGAGGGAAAACAGCACGTCCGTTTGCATCATTCTCCCACCTCAGTTTGATTTGAGGACGAAAGTCTGCTGACATGCTCTCACCGTCTTCCTCCACTCCTTCTTCTTGCTCGCCGAAGGTGATCTTTGTAATATCCACTTCGGGATATTCTGCCTTCACCTTCTTCCTGCAGTCCGTGAATGCAATGATGGCAGTGGGCAGCCGGTACAAGTTAACGATGTTGTCAAACGAGCTGGAGTTGATGAAGTTGCTAATGTGCTCCTTCATCCCATTGTGCACCGAAGTCTGCACATTATCCTTCAACTCCACGAAAGCCTCCTTCATCAGCTTTATTTCTTGCGCCTGAGCCTCACGCTCGCTTTCAAAGATCCTTCATTTGCTCTCCTCAAAGACGAGCTTGGTGCTCAGGGAAGCCCTCTCCTGCTCCAACTGTTTCACAGTTGGAACCACCTCGTTCAACGACTCTTGTAGTTCTTTATTTTTCTTCTCCAGCTCCTCCTTCTCCTTCCGCAGCTGGTCACACTACCTCTGCAAGAGTGAGCGCTCCTTCATGCTATCCATGAACTCTTGGGCTAGACCATTCACCCAGTTTGCGCTTTGCAAATCAACGCAGAAGTTAAGAGAAAAAGAAGAGAAAAAGGAAGAAATTAAACAAACAACACCAATAACTCAACATACCTCTAAAACGTGCTTCACCACTGAAGCCCCACAATACCTCAGAGCCTCATCTTGCGCGTTGTGTTTGTCCACTTCGGGGAAGGTGAAGTTGATGAACCACCTAGCCCCCGTCATGTTCTTCACCTCAAACAGGCTGCTCTGGAATGCCATTGGAGGAACAGGGCCCTTTCCCTTACCGGGAGCTCGTACCTCAGCCCCCTCCTCCAACTGTCTAAGCTCAGGCTCCAGCTCAACAGGAGGAGGCTGAGGTACGAACTGAGGTACCTCATTCCCCCTCTCCTCCTCCACCACCTTCTTCTTCTTCTGAAGTGTCCTCCTCTCCTCCCAACCCTTCCTCTTCAACTGCGGCACCTCCTCCTCTGTCTCAGCTGAAGTAGCGGGCACCACCTCTTTCATAGCCTTCCCCTCATCCACTTGCTTGGTTGAAGTCTTTGACTTCTTCCTTGGCTTCTTAGGGATAGCCACTCTTCCAACAGTGTTCAAAAACTGATCCATTTCAACTGCAAAGCAAGAAAACACAATATTAATCACAGTTCTACACTCTACATTTACTACTACAATGCAGAACTAAACCAACCTTCACTTAAAGCGCTTGGCCCATAGAGCTTAGTAGCTTCTATGCATTGTGCGCTGGTGAGGTCCAAAATGTTCAATAAATCCCCCCCTTCCTCACCAACTTCTTCACCAACTTCCTCACTTCTTCCTCCTTATCCTCGTTTAAACTAAACCTATTATGGTTGGCTCTTTTAGCCTTCGAGGATGCTAACTCCCTCACCTCGGCATCCCCCCTCTCCCGTTCCGTATCATCTACAAAAAAGAAATTTTCCTTCCATCCTTTAATGGATGAAGGACCTGCAGTGAACAAAGACCTACTCTCCTTACTAGCTACCCTCGGGGTGAAATAATACCACCCCTTATCCCTCCTACTACCCCCCTTTAAAACAAAAAAATACTTAAACATATTACGGTTGGCACATTAATCCCCTGAGCTCGGCAATAGACTAAAAATCCTATTATTATCCTCATAGCGTTGGGGACTAATTGTGTCAACCCTATATTATAATCTAACAACAAACCTACTAGCAACTCAGGAATTGGAAACCTCAACCCCGCTATCAGATAGTGGGAATATACGAGCATCCAATGATCCCAAGGAGCAGAACACGCTCTCTCCTCTTCCTCAGCTGGCCTAACTAACACTCGGGACGAGATCTCGTAATTTTCCACTAAGTGACCAAGGCTATCCCTGGTCCTTAGTTCAGATCTATATTGCTTCACCTCCTCCACTATCTCTGCGTTCACATCATAATCTCTCTCTCCTCTACCCTCTACTTCTACTATAGTGATGGGTATGCTATCTCCCCCAACCTCTACCACCTCATTCCCCCCAACCTCCACCACCTCGTCTCCTCTCACCCCCTCCATCGTCTTCTCCGAACTAGATGGAGATGGACTACTCTCTAAGTCCATGCTCCCATAGTCCAGGGGCATCACCTCACTCCCTACTATACTTACTATTCCTTCTGAGAACATTTTCTCAAACTCTGCATGAAGTAGGGGGGAGGAATAAGTCAGGATCCTTTAAAAAAAAATAAAAAATAAACAAAACCCCCTCTGTTGCACATTCAAAATCCTTTTCACCTCTAACCCTAACTTCCTTCAAAGGACTCTAAATTAACCACAGAAAGGGAGAAAGGAGAGAGACACTTTGATTAACTCAAAATCAGAGGTTCGTATACATTACCTGATTTCGATTTCGAAAGCCTGCTGTAGAAATCCCCAAATGCTGTGACAGTTCACGTGCAAGAAACACACAGTAAAGCTTTTCGCAGAAGTTTTGCAGGAAAAGAAATGCAAGTAAACCTCTTTATGCAGAAAAGATGCCTATTTATACTTCTGGGCAAAATTAGATCTCAACGGCTGAGATTCGTTTAATCTTACGGTTCCTATTAACACCGTTTGGAATTCGACGATTCGTTTTTTAAAATTTGCCCGTTTAACTGTTGTAGTTATCTTTTTACTGTTGCATTAATTGCGCACGTCATTCCATGATTGTCAGACTTTTCAGACGGGCCCACTTACGCCCATTTCAACACCTTCGTTTACTTTTGCACATTCTCAATTTTGCAAGTGTTTCACCTCGGCTCCGACCACAATAATCATGCATTACATTTCACATCGGGTTCGGCCACAGTGACCCAGTGTCACACATTTTACCTTAGATCTGGCCATTATGACTCCTGTCTTTATCCTTAAGCCTAGCTCAGCACTTATGTTTACTTTTACAATTACACTTTTTAACTGGCATAGTGTTTCACTTCGGCTACGGCCACAATGACTTACTGTGACTACATGTTACATACTTTACCTCGGCTCCGGCCATTATGACTCCGGTCATCATTTCCTATCACAGCCTGGGCCTCTATGACTCCAGTTATCATTTTTTTATCACAACCTTGGTTACATTATGACTCCGATGATCACTTTTTATTACAGCACCGACCACCATGACTCCGGTCATCATCTTTTACTATGGCTACGGCCACGTTAACTTCGGTCATTATTTTTACCACGGCCATGGCCATGATCGCTCCGGTCATATTCTATTTTAAGGTACCCCAGTATGACCCACTGTCACATACTTCATTATTAGCTACGGCTATGTGTACACTTGAGTTACAGATTTTATTTCTTCCTTTTACTTCCATGACTTACCCATATTCTCTTTGTTTATGCACTCCCCTCATTATCCCCAACAACATCATTCACAAGTGTGAATGACTTC